CTGTCTTTTTGGGGGGAGGGTGTTTGTGGCTATGACAACTACTTTCAAAATTGTTACTGGATATTTCCTGTTACATGAAACTGCTAAAAGGCTTTTGCAGTCATATAATGCAACAAAACATTCTTTTAATGGTAAAAGTAAACTGACATATGAAGCTACTTCTAAATAACTATGCAAGAGAGGAATAAATCTTTTTCTGAAAATTACTGGTGCAAATACACAAAATAGAGCTGTAATGTGTGGTAATATTATTTATAATAGAATTTTGGTGGAGGAGATAGAGTAGCAAGGAGATTGACACATTGACAACTACATGAAAGGAACATGAAAGTGATAAAGTCACTGTATATGAGTTGGGTAGCTATATAAATTTGTTTAATAAATACAATGGGAAAGGTCTCTGGGGATTCCAGAATTTACATGGCACTAATTGGATTTTTGATCTCCCTTTTATTTTGAGACACAATAGACTAATTTTACACCATCACTAAATTACATAAGAGAATGTAGTATATATACAAAAATAATTCAATAACAATTTAATCTGATACATTGGGTTAAGTGATTTAGGGCTTGATCTAATTTCAGGCAAGTTCAAGCCTCTGTTAAGAGATACCTGCATTCTCTCTCTCTCTCTCCCTTCCTTTTTCTTTTTCTTTTTCTTTCTTTCTTTGTCTCTTTCTTTCTTCTCTCTCTCTCTCTCTTTCTTTCTCCCTCCCTCCCTCCCTTTCTCCTTTCTCCCTTCCTGTGAAGAACCCCAGAAGGTCTTTGGTAGGAGGAAGAAAAACCAGACGTTTTGAAACTCAGAACATGCCCATTGATCATCTGGCATTCTTAGAGCTCCACTATTGATTAGCTTAGCCTGAGCAAGGATAGCCAGCAGCCACTGAACAATAAGCTCTCAACTCAAGCTCAGTGCACGTGGGGATCCCCAAACAGTGAGGAAAAACGTTTTGTAGCTTAGCCTGAGCAAAGACAGCTAGTGCAGGACTTACAGTAAGCTCTCAACTCAAGCTCAGTGCACCTGGGGATCTCCCTAAACAGTGAGGATTTCTTTGCTTCTTTCTCCCTTGAAGCCCCCCCCCCCCCAGCCCGTTTTTGCTTCCAGAGGACTGCAGGGAGTCTTGCTAGGCACCCCCCCACACACACACACATTTTGGCCTTAGCAAGCCTCCCTGCATCCCTGGGAGCCAAAACAGGATGCGGGGGGGGGGATTCCTGTAAGGGGCGGGGAAGGTAAGGTCGTGAGCCCGGTGGGGGTGGGGCAGCATGCTGGGGTGGGGTGTAGCGCAACTTATCTATAGGCAGGAGGCGGCAGCTCAGTTGGGGCGCAGGGCAGGCACCACGTGGGAAGGCAGCTTAGGCAGGCAAGCCGCCCAGGTGGCAAGGAGGAAAAGGAAGTGATTGGGTGGGATGGGGATCGGTTCGGGGGCGTGGCCAGCCTGCAATTAATACCGGTTCTGTCGACCCTTGCCAATTTATCGCTACCGGTCCTCGCGAACCGGTAGCAACCCATCATGGGTGTGTGTGTGTGTGTGTGTGTGTGTGTGTGTGTAATCTGTGTAGCCCCCTCAGGAGTGAGAGTGTTGTAGACAGGCATTGAACTGCACTTCCAGCCTCCTTTCTGGACCTTCGGCTGCACAGGAGCATCCTAGCAGATGAAGGATTTCACTCCACTCTCCTTCATACCGACTTTCTTCGGTTCCCAAAGCAGAGGAGCCATTGACTTGCTGGTTGGGACAGACAGACATCCAAGTCCAGAGCCTTTGACCTTGGCCTCTGCCTGCTCCTGTGTTGCTTTGCTCAATCAGCATGTCCCTTTCCATGAAACTGGATCCATCTCGCAGCCTCTTTAGATAGGTTGTGTCCCTGTGAAGGGACATCTTCCATAAACAAGCAGAATAACAGAATAGCAGAAGGTAAGAGACCTTGGAGGCCCATAGATTCCTATAGGGATGCTGTCATTCTGGTGGGAGGGAGAAGGCTTGGGGGGAATCTCTTTATGGGGCTTCTGTTTCTATTCCTTGCTTTGCTTTGCTGTAACTTTCGGGATCTTGGGAGGGGGAAAGTCTGGAGAAGAGCCGCAGCGTTGCCTTGGAGACTGGCATTTATCACCTTCTCGGCCTGAGTTTCCAGTAACATCTTCACACCTCGCGATTGGCTGGATGATGAATTGGATTTGGGGAGGGGGTCTGTCTGCAATGGTTTAATCAAACATTTTGAGCAGGAAATCTTAGTTCCTGCCTACATCTCTTGAGTTCTGATATCTTGAGAAGACTGGTGAGGCAGGGCCTTAGGAGGTTTTCTAATCCAATCCCCTACTCAAGCAGGAGACCCTAGACCTGTGATGGCAAACCTATGGCACAGGTGGCACGCGGAGCCATATTGGTGGGCACTTGAGTCCAGCTGATTTTTGGGCCTTCTGAGCCCACTGGAAGTCAGGAAACACGCTGTTTCTGGCCTCCAGAAGGCCTCTGTGGGGAGGGGGGGAAGCCCCGTTTCTCTCTCTCCCCCAGGCTCCAGAGCTTTCTAATAGCCTGGGGAGGGCAAAAACAGCCTTCCCCGCGCCCCAGAGGTCCTTCAGTGGCTGGAAACGGTCCGTTTCCCAACTGGGGAGAGTGAAAAACAGGCCTGCTGGACGCGCCCTGCCATTGTGTGCCAAAAGTGGGGGTAGGGCAGGGGGGGTCGCACGCAAGGGGTGTGGGGTGCATAGAATTATGGGTGACCCCCCGTGCTCCCCTTACTTTTGGCACACAATGGCAAAAAGGTTAGCCATCAGTGCCGTAGACAGTTCCGGAGAAATGGCTGCCCACTCTCTTCCAGTGGAGTTTCTGCTGTGGGCTCAAGCAGGGTGCGGGCACAATTGACTGGAAAAGAACTTGATGGAGAGAAACCTTGATGCCTTGTCCTGAAGGTACCTTTGCTAAGAATCGCCTACACTGATCATTCTCTTCTCAGAAGGCATTGAGGAGGCTGCATCGCTTTCCTCCTGTTGCTTCTCCCTTGTTCCTCAGGCCCTTTTATCAGGTCACACGAAGTCTGACTGTAAGAATGAACGTGCAGGGTACCTTTCTGGGCTCATGTGTGCCAGATATTGGGACTAAAACACGAGAGATGGGAATTGTAGTCCAAAGCTTGGGAAAAGATGGGTAAGCAATAGTCTGGTGCCTTTTGGATCAGAGGGCCTCAGCCCAATTTGCTCTCCGTGTTAAGGAAGTGCTCAGTGAAGTGATGGATGTGAGATTTTCGCCTTTCACCTTCCCAATAAACAACCTGCCTGGTAAAAAATTTAGATTCTTTAAGGTTAAAAGCTGGTCAATGACTGAAATAAAGAGACTTGACTTAAGTGTTGTCATAGGCACGAAACAATTTTGCTTTCCAGAGTAGTGAAATCTGGACGGTGTTGAAATAAAAAAAAAAGTTTAGGGTCTGGGGTGCAGCAGCTCCTCTTTACAGAAGGGGGTCTCCCGGGTGGATGCAGCTCATGTGAAGACAGGCATGGAGTCCCACTCATTGGCCACAGGCTGGGTGCGGTTGCTGCTTCCTGACAGCAGCCCACAGTGAAGGCTGAGTGGTGGTGGTGGGAGGCCTGATTTTGCCCCCTCCCCCTCTCGATTTTTTTTTTTTTTTTTTTTGAGAGCAGCTTTACTGTGATATTGCATCAGGCTCCTGGGAAGAATGGCCAACTACAGAGAAAGTGCCTTGAATGATGAAAATTATAATCTCCTTTTAATCCTTTGTGGGGTGGAAGCTGGGCAACTGAACGGAGCTGAGTGTTTACTGGCCGGATGCCCTTCCTGTCGCCAATGTGGAGTTATATTCAACAGATATAGTCTCATTGTGGCCAGAGAGAGAAATATCTGCCTCTACCTAGGATCGAACTCACAGTCTCCTGATTGTGAGGCGAGAGCTCCACCTCTAGGCCACCGCACCACTTGTCCTTGAATGATGAAAATGCAGGATAGATAATTGTGAAGATCAGAACTTTCATATTCCCCCAGCATTTTTTCCATGGCAAAAAGAGTTTCCTCTACATTTTAAAGATGCTTTCCAATTTATGTCAAATCCATGTTTTGGAGCTCAGTCACCGATAACACTAGGATTGCTTTATGGGGCGTCTTTTCAATCCCCCTCCCCAAGCCTCCTTTGCTGGCCACAGTTCCTGGTGCAAGGGATGCTTCTCCTTCTGGGGTCAGTCAGGGAGATTCCAGCCATTCTGGACTGAAGCCCAGCGAGAGGAGATTGCACCCATGCAAGGGTCACTGAACATGCCTCCCTCTTCAGAAAAATAAATGAAAAATCATCTATTTTGTACCCAACCGAATGAGAGTGAATGAAAAGGTGCAGTAGTTGTTTCCAGCATGAACAGTACCGTATTTTTCGGAGTATAAGATGCTCCGGACTATGAGACACACCTACCTTTTTTGGTGAGGAAAACAAGAAAAAGAAATCTGCCTCCTAGCAGTTTTGCCTTGTTGCAGCAAACAGCAAACAGCCTGCTTTACTTTCATTTTCGTTTTCAGCATAACTTGATTAGCTCAAGGAAAAAAAATATTCTCTCAGCAATTTACCTCCTTGCAGCAAGCAGCAGAGGCCCACACAGCAATAGGCAATAGCAATCCCTGCAGCCTGAGAGTCAGGAGGCCAATCCAAAGTCCATTAGATCGGATGTTAGCAACTTGTGCTAATTAGGCTGTGCTGAAGCTGAAAGGGGCTGTTTCTTCTTGCTGCTTGCTGCAAGGAGGTAAATTGCTGGGAGGCAGAGGCCAAAGTCTGTGGGCCAGAGGGTGGGTGGGGCTACATTCAATGTATAAGACGCACCCAAATTTTCACCCCCTTTTAGGGGGAAAAAAGGTGCGTCTTATACTCTGAAAAATACAGTAATTGTATTAGTAATGTTGCATGCCAGCAGGTGGTTACTTATAGATCTGGGAGAACCTGCTGAGGGGCCCCCGACCTGACCTGACCTGACCTGACCTGACCGTTCTCTCTCCCTCTAGGACCCTCGGAGCAAACACAAGTTCAAAATCCACACATATTCCAGCCCAACCTTCTGCGATCACTGCGGCTCCTTGTTGTATGGACTTCTCCACCAGGGGATGAAATGTGACAGTAAGTCCCAGCTGGCCGGGTCCGGTCCTAGGGAAACACCCTGCTCCATTCACCTGTTCTCCTTCTGAGCGTATGGGAGCAAGGGGGAGAACCGGGAACAGAGGGGTTCCTTGCGTGGGGGAGCTGTGGGTCTGAGCAGCTGCAGCTCTTACATCCTGAGAAAACGATAAATGAGCAGAGACCAGAGCTGCCTCGGAGGAAACAGGGCTGGGGGGGAGGGGTGTGATTGCAAGGAAGCGCCCAACAGTCTTGTCTCTCACCTGTTGCAGGTGAGGAGTCTGTGTGTACTGTGTGAGGGGGTCCTTTCCCAATCCTATGTCTGTGGAGATCCTGAATCATCCAGGTCATGGACTTCCTTGGTTTTTTTTTTCCCTCTGAAGATGTTTTGCTTCTCCATCCAAGAAGTTTCTTCAGTTCTCTGGGTGAGAAGTGAAATGTTTTCAAAGGAAAAAACCCAAGAAAGTCCACTTGCCTTTTGGAAAAAGCACCTTTAGATTCACAAAGCGTGTGTCAGCCTTCTCCTTCCTACACTGAATGTGCGGAGCAAAGCTGCCAGGGGCATCAGATGTCAGGGGTAACCTCCAGAGCCCCCCCCTGCCTTAACTCCTCTCTCCTTGAAATGCTTGGTTATCATGCCACGCACAAGCCACCAGCCCAGCTGCACCGGACTGGCTACTCCCTGATTAGTACAGGGGCACAGCCATCCATGGGGGTTAGGATTGGACTGTCAAGGGCCAGAGGTGGCTTTCTCCGGGCAGCCTCACAGCTTCTTCCTAAGACTTGGCCAAGAAAGTCTGCAGACAGCTTCATCCCTTCGTGGTGGTAGAGACCCTCAACACAAATCAGAGCCAGAAGGTCCCTGTGCGAATGGTGCCTGGGGCTCAGGTTTCCTGCCTCTGGGATTGCTACCTGAGGGAATGCCAGGCAAAGCCCATAGAGCCACAGACTGTCTTACCGGGAGTCCCGTCACTGACTAAGCTGGAGCAGCCCTCTTAAAGAGTACGGGGAAACAGGTAAACATGACTACCTGTTGAGTTTCTCATAAATTATTTAAATGAGGGGACAGAAGAGGAAATCATCAAACTGGCTAACAGCAGGCTAGGGGGAATAGCCTAAATAGTTTAAAAGATAAGATTTTGAACATGGCTGTCAAACTCACCGCATCACATTGCTCTCATGTGACATTTTGTGATGTTCCCTCCCCCCTTTGCAGAGCTGGGGTGGGCTTGGCCTGCGTGTGACACATCTGGACCGTGGGCTGCCAGTTTGACACCCCTGATTTAGAAGGATCTTGACAGACTGGAATATTGGGTCCTATCCAACAAAATGCAGTTTAGTGGTGAGAAAAGTGAGATTTTTTTCCACTTATGCAAGAAAAACCAAATGCACAGGTACAGAATAGGTGGCACCTGGCTCAATAGTAGTGACTGTGAGAGGGATCTAGGAGTGCTAGTAGACAACCACTGTGGCATGAGCCAGCAGTGTATTGCAGCTGTCAAAGAGCTAATGCAGTCCTAGATTGTATGATCAGAAGGATAGTACCAAGATCATGTGAAGTGTTAGTACCGCTTCATTTTGCACTGGTGGGACCGTACTTGGAATACTGCACCCAGTTTTGCTCACCATTATACAAAAAAAGATGCAGAGGCTCTGGACAGAGTGCAGAGAAGAGCAACAAAGATGATTAGGGGCCTGGAGACTAAATCATATGATGAACAGTTGCGGGAACCAGGTATGTCCAGCAGTGGTGAAATGTAAAATTTGTTACTACCGGTTCTGTGGGCGTGGCTTGGTGGTGGGGTAATGTGACTGGGTGGGCGTGGCCAACTTTTTTTTTTTACTTTTGAAAGCATTTTTTCAGCTGAAGAGATTGCAGGAAAAAATAGTTTTAAAAGTTAAAAAAACAGCCTCTGATGATCGCGCGGCTCAGCTGGGCATTGGGGGGGGCAGGGATTTTTGCTACCAGTTCTCCGAACAACCCGCCACCATTGCTACCGGATCGGATGATCCGGTCCCAACCGGGAGCATTTCACCCCTGATGTCCAGCCTAAAAAGAGAAGTAATAGGGGTGACATAAGTCTTCCAACATTTGAAGAGCAGTCATACAGAAGACGGATATCCCCCATAGCACCTGAGAGCAGGAGAAGAAGTAATGGGTGGAAGACTATCAAACAGAAATCCAACCTGCAACTAAGGAGAAATTTCATGTCAGTGAGAACAATTAATCGCTGGAATGGCTTGTCTCCCGAGGTGTGGGTGCTCCATCATTGGAGGTCTTCAAGAAAAGGTTGGACAGCCATTTGTCCGGGATGGTACAAAGACTCCTGCCTTGGGCAGAGGTTGGACTAGAAGACCTCCAAGGTCCCTTCCACCCTTAGGATTCTCTGATTCCAAGTTGAAAACTCCCAATGCAGAAAAGGTAGGCTAGCAGTCACGAAATATGAGCTTAGGGAGCCCCCTAGTGTCCACCTTATGAACCGCAGCCACCTACCTAATGCAGTGAGATGCCAGAGACCAAGGAAGGAACAGGCTGGGCGGGAGAGAAAGGCTGCACCCCTGGAATATCCCAGGCTTTTAGGAAATCCAGGGGCTCCACAGGGAGAAGAACCCCAGTTAATGTTTGAAGCAGGAGTTGCTCTGTGGATGCTCTTAAATATCAGCCGGGTAGGGCGCAATCTGCATGTGGGAGGGCATGGCCTCCTGCTCCCCCCACCCGACAGTATTTCATCTTAGATCTCCCTGGGAAGGAAACAGTTTGGAAAAACAGACAGAAGGAAGTGCAATGAAAAGAAGTACCTATTAGCCCTTTGAGGGGCTCCAGATTTAAAGAGCATTTTCCCAGCATGCCAAAATAGCATGGCAGAATCCTAGATACCTTATAGCCTTGATGGCAAACCTATGGTACGTGTGCCAGAGGTGGCACACAGCGTCCTCTCTGATGGCACGTGAGCCATCGCCTCAGTTCAGCTTCACTGCGCATGAACACGCACCTCCTGCCGGCCAGCTGGTCTTTGGGTCTCTTCGGTGCATGCGTAGGGGGCAGGGCACGTGCAGGGAGGGGGTGCATGCATTCATGGGGGTGGGGGCATGTGGGGGGTGCATGTACATGCACAGAGGGCAGGGCGCATGTAGGGGGCCATGCGTGCATGCACGGGGAGGTGGGGCACATGTAGGGGGCTGCATGCACATTGCATTTTGGAGGTTCAGGCATGGGTGCACATATTTGCACGCACACGTGTGCGCTTGGGCACTTGGTCTGGAAAAGATTAACCATTTAATTTTTTTTTTAATTTTTTGATTTATATGCCGCCCTTCTCCGAAGACTCAGGGCGGCTTACAATGTGCTCAGCAATAGCCTTCATCCTTTTGTATATTTATACAAAGTCAGCTTATTGCCCCCACAAACTGGGTCCTCATTTCACCTACCTTAGAAAGGATGGAAGGCTGAGTCAACCTTGAGCCTGGTGAGATTCGAAGTTACAGTAATTGCAGACAGCTGGTCTTAATAACCAGCTTAATAACAGGGTGCCTTAAACCCCTGTACTACCAAGACCATCACTGTCTTCTAGAAAACCTAGTTGAGCCCCTGTTCTGTCCAGGGCAGGAATCCTCAGATCATCCCAGATGTTTGGCTGTCCACTCTTGTCTGGAGTAGACAGAGCCCCAGTGACTCCAGGAAGCTTTTACATTGCTTGGTAGCCCTTGAGAGTCAGAAAATCTTCCTTCCTTTGAAGGAATTGAATTTGGAGATCTCTTGCAAAGTTCCTCCCCATTAGTTTCTGTCCTGCCCTTGGGCACGATGGCAGCTAAGGCCCTGCCTGCTTCCCGAGGACGGCCCTCCAGAGATTGGAGAAGTGCCCCAAGCCTCCCCCAGCCTTGTCTTCAGGAACGAGCAGAGGGTCTCTCAGTGCAACCCCCCACCTGGCTGGTCTTCCGTTTGGGGCTGACACCATTTCTCTCTCTGCCTCAGCCTGCATGATGAATGTGCACAAGCGTTGTGTGATGAACGTGCCAAGTCTCTGTGGGACGGACCACACCGAGCGCCGAGGCCGGATACACATCAAGGCGGACATTGAGAACGAGGTCTTGACGGTTATCGGTAAGTCCAGCTTTTGGGTGATACCGGGAAGAAAGGATCAATGGTGAAATGTAAAATTTGTTACTACCGGTTCTGTGGGCGTGGCTTGGTGGGGTGATAATATGACTGAGTGGGCATGGCCAACTTTTTTTTTTCTAACTTTTAAAACCATTTTTTCTACAACTTCTTAGAGGTTGTATAAAAAATGCTTTTAAAAGCCTCTGACGATCCAAGCTGACTTGCCTGATCGGCAGAGGCTTTGTTTTTACTTTTAAAAGCATTTTTTCGGCCGAAGAGATTGTAGAAAAAATGCTTTTAAAAATAAAATAAAAAGCCTCTGATGATTGCACGGCTGGGCATGGGGGTGGGGAGGGATTTTTGCTACCGGTTCTCCGAACCACCCGCCGCCATCGCTACTGGATCGGGCGATCCAATCCGAATCGGGAACATTTCACCTCTGGAAAGGATCCCTTTTGCTGCAAGGGATTGTTCTGACCCAGCCTTAGCAGCAACAGGGAACAGACTCCTTGTCATGAAAAAAACCTCTTTATTTATCTCCTGTTTTTATCTCCATTCACATACCAAAAAGTGCAGGCAAGAGTCCTTCGAAGAGTTAACTGCAGTAACAGATCTTATCAGTTCCTTGCAATAATTTAAGTTAAGTTAAAGTTAAGATAGGGATCAAAAGGTCGGCAGTTCAGCAGTTCGAATCCCTAGCGCCGTGTAATGGGGTGAGCTCCCGTTTACTTGTCCCAGCTTCTGCCAACCTAGCAGTTCGAAAGCACGTAAAAATTGCAAGTAGAAAAATAGGGACCACCTTTGGTGGGAAAGTAACAGTGTTCTATGCGCCTTTGGCATTGAGTCATGCCGGCCACATGACCACGGAGACGTCTTCGGACAACGCTGGCTCTTCGGTTTTGAAACAGAAATGAGCACCACCCCCTAGGGTCAGGAACGACTAGCACATATGTGCGAGGGGAACTTTTACCTTTACTTTAAAGTTAAGTTAAGTTAAATTAAATTAAGTTTATTAATTCAATTTATTTATTAATTCAATTTATATGCCGCCTTTCTCCGGAGACTCAGGGTCGCTGAGTTCTGGCAAGCAGTCTCTGAGGCATGAAACACGATGAGCCAAATCTTCAGAAATCCGAACAGTTGTTTCCTATGATCACCACTCCCCTTTCCTTTTATTTATTCCCAAGACAGGGAAGGGCCACTCAGCGTCCACGTGTGCTTTGCTTCCCGAGTTGACTCCTCGTCCTCTGTTGTTCTCCTCTCTTAACTGCTCTGTGCATATGTACATCTGGAACAGGCCCCAGCTGTTCTTCCTCCTCACTCATCTCAGCCTCCAAAGGCAGCTGCCTCTCCAGTGGCTGGGAAATGTTAGACAGCCTTGGCTCTATCTCTGCGTCCGACGTAGAGCATCCATCAGAGCTTTCCCCAGACTCCAGAACTGGCCCACGTTCCTCCCCAACCTCCTCATCATCTGAGTCTGCCGCCAGCTCCACTGGCAACTGGTGGGCCACAACAGGGATTTCATGCTCTTGTGTGACGGCTGCAGAGGTCCATAATGCTTGGTGGCTAGAAAAGGGATTACAGATAGTTCTCAATTTACGACCAGAGGTTTTTTTTGTTTTTTTTTTTAATTTGATTTATATGCCGCCCTTCTCTGAAGACTCAGGGCAGCTTACAATGTGCTCAGCAGTTGAGCCCAAACTTTCATTTGCTAAGTGAGACATTTGTTAAGTGAGTTTTGTCCCATTTCACGATTGTTAAGGTTGTTCACTGGAGTGACTAAGCTAGTAACATGGTTGTTAAGTGAATCTGGCTTCCCCATTGACTTTGCTTTTCCGAAGGTTGCAAAGGGGGATCATGTGACCCCAGGATACTGTAACCGTCATAAATATGAGTCAGTTGCCAAGTGTCTGAATTTTGATCATGTGACCGTGAGGATGCTACAATGGTCAGTGTGAAAAATGGTCATAAGTCACTTTTTTCAGTGCCGTTGTATCTTTGAGTGGTCACTAAATGAACTGTTGTAAGTCGGGGACTACCTCTATTGAGTTGGCTGAGCCAAAGCCTGTGGGGAAACCCTGCTTTTCTTGGCTCATTCACAACAACCTGCTGTGTTGATCTCCTGTCCCGCATGGAAGTCACAGAGAGGCTGCCACTGAATGAAAGTCGGTCTAGGGCAGAGGTCTTCAAACTTGGCAGCTTTAAGACTTGTGGACTTCAACTCCCAGAATTCTCCAGCCAGCTATGCTGTCCAGCTATGCTGGCTGGAGAATTCTGGGAGTTGAAGTCCACAAGTCTTAAAGCTGCCAAGTTTGAAGACCTCTGGTCTAGGGGACCAAATGCTCAGCACATTGCTAAGCGATTCTTCTCTTGGCTCTCCTGGCTCAAAATGCAGGGTGGGGGGATCACAGGGGTCTCTGACGTCTTTTACTTTCCCACTCTCAAAAGATCCCCTCTAAACTCGTAGCTGTTCCAGGGAGAAGCAGAGGCAGTGCAGCATGAGGCCAGCCTTTCGGACCCCGAGTGGGACAACTCGCCACGGCCAACTTGCTGCGGGACAATGTAACAATTCTGTCCCTCCTTTTGCATCCTTTCTTCAATGATTCTATTCCACTATTTCTTTGATATTAGTGTGAGAGCCGCAGTGGCTCAGTGGTTAGAATGCAGTACTGCAGGCTCCTTCTGCTGACTGCCGGCTGCTTACAATTTGGCAGTTCAACTCTCGCCAGGCTCAAGGTTGACTCAGCCTTCCATCCTTCCAAAATAAGGATCCAGATTGTTGGGAGCATAATGCTGAATCTGTAAACCACTTAGAGAGGGCTGTAAAGCACTGTGAAGCGGTATATAAGTCTAAATGCTAATGCTATTGCTAACTTTTGTCCTGCAGCAAATAGACTGTGCGATGTTGGCCGTGGCGAGTTGTCATAGACCCTTTCAGACACCCTGCAGGTGGTTGGTTGCCCCTGCCAATTGGGCTTCGGAGGGGGTTTGTGATGCGGTTCTTTTAATGTGTTGTGGATATTTTCTCAATAGAATTGTTAAAAACTTGACGTGCCATGTTTTTTCAAGAATTTATCACTTCTTATCTCTGGTGCCTGCCTCTGTCCTGAATGCCCCCTTCCTTCAGTTGGCCCACAAAACCACAGAGATGGGAGGAGGGTTTTCCTTTTCATTGCTCTGTGTGTGTCCCTCAGACTGGAGGTGTCTAGAGCAGTGATTCTCAACCTTTTCTTCACCTTCGACCCCCTTTAAATACTTTTTGTGGCCACGGACCCCCAAGACCTAAGATTTAAATCAAAACATTTCTTCAAGCCTTCGAGGACCCCCTGTGAGACATGGAGATCCCCCAGGGGTCCACGGACCACAGGTTGAGAACCACTGGACTAGAGCAAAAATCCCCACACTTATTTTTTTGCAATTTGGCCACGTTTTTTTACATTCTTTCAAATTGTCACAGACTGATAATGCTGATTTTTGAGGTGCACAGATAACTAGCTCTAGTAACTGCTGACTAACTGTAAAACAATTCCCTGTCCAGGATTCAAGCCAGGGAACCTCTCGGCTCAACCTGTGGCTTCTTCCATGTCCTTCCTGGTGTCTGCATCCACGAGGAATTAAAAGGGATGCTCAGGCTATAACAGGCATTCTTCGTTTTCCTCTTTTGGGTGCAAATTAGCAAACTCACAGCACATATGTACCCATCACACTATTCCTTTTCATAGTAACCAGTATTATACAAAGCACAGAAAAGTAAAGAAATGACAGATAGCCTTACAATCATTTATTTAGTGATCATTCAAAGTTACAGTGGGCATTTTTCATACTTATGACCATTACAGCATTCCCATGGCCGTGTGATTTGAACTTTTGGCAACTGGTTCATAATTTATTACAGTTTCATTGTCATATAATCATCTCTTTTTTTGAATTTTTTTTATTAAACACATATTAAAACATTGGACACAATGTAATCGTCCTGGCATTCTCTTTGCCATAGATACTAAAATAAACAATAAGTATCATATATACTTTGCTACTTATATACATTTGGTCTATTCAGTATTTACATATATAAAGACATCATTTTTCTATCTATATTACCTATACATTTGTCTTATCCTCTTTCATTCTATTGTAATTACATACATACCCTTCGTTCTCCATTCTATAAGTTCTAGTCAGTTCATATTTTTCATCCCTCCTTTCCGTTCCAACCATTGATAAAATTTGTTCCATATCTTATAATAATCTGACTCGCCTTTATTTTTCAATTCCAACGTTAATTTGTCCATTTCCGCACATGTCAAAAATTTTTTGATCACTTCATCTTCTAGGGGGATTTCCTTATTTTTCCAATTTTGGACAAAAATCATTCTTGCTGCTGTTATAATATGTATTATTAAGTAAATTACCCCTTTACTATATTTCCCATTTATAATCCCCAATAGGAATAGTTTATATTCTATTTCTTCTCCAATTGCTTCTGTCAGCCATAAAGTCATATAATCAATCATCTTTTGTGACCTTCTGACAGGCAAAGGCCACGGGGAAGCCAGATTCATTTAACAATCCTGTTATTAACTTAACAACTGCAGTGATTCACTTAACAATTGTGGCAAGAAAGATCATAAGATGGGGCAAAACTCATTTAACAAATTTCTTACTTAGCAACAGAAATTTGGGGCTCAATTGTGGTCATAAGTCGAGGATTACCTGTAAATTAAAGACATGAGATAGGTGATAGATTTCTCATTCACCAGAGCCCTTCCACTTTTCTCCATGGAAATACATCTTATTTTCCACCACATCTGTCTGTTCTCCATTCACTGCTTTTTGTTCTTTAAACCTCTGCTTTCAACTTCCCCCCTCCCCCACCCTCCCCCTCCTTTTGGAAGGTCTCATCAGTTGGATCTGGCTGCATCTGTCCTGGTGTTGCCTTTCCTTTCAGGCCTTTCTCTCTTCCCTCCTAGATTTGTGTGGCCATTCCATCCATCCCCATTTGT